GTCCGACAGAACTCCGCTCGTTAGGTAGTGGTCCGACGGAACTCTGAGCATTAGGTGTTAGTCCGACGAAACTCCAGCGTTAGGATTACCAAATAATTTTTAAACGTGACATGCTTCTAGTTGAATCGAGCGGCACGACGAGACAAATCTAATGAGCCTAAGATCACAGAATTCAGACATCATTAAGACCTTCAAATGTCCAGCAAATGTCTACAATCAGGGGATTCAACATCGGTCGTCCTTCCAAACCATTCTCCATTTACCTTTGATCTTCCTCCTATTTATGGGTCATGCCTGTGAGATCTCGTTCCTTTATTGTTCCTCTCTGAATTAGATTTTCCTCCCAGGATCGGCCAGGACGATGTTGAGATCGTCCAGGTCGATCAGTGCATTGAAAACAGCTGATTTCTGGAGTGTTTCTGGAATGATTTCTGGACTGGATCGTCCAGGACGATTTTGGATCGTCCTGGGACGATCAGTTCATGGCAAAATCCCGAGAGCAAAACCGAAATTATCGTCTTGTATCGTCCTGCAAAACCGTCTAGTGCGATTGGAAATTGGTCACATCGTCCTGGACGATGTCGCGATCGGCCAGGACGATCAGACTAAGGTTATAAGGAAATCAGCTAATTACGAATAAGATATAAACAAGCAGAGTTATGAGTAAGTACTTGTTGAACGCCTAATCCATTTACAGTCTTATAAATATATTTGTCATAGAATAGACTGCGAGGCTTTTTCTTTTTGGGGGGCTGGCTAACATTCGAGTGTGGGTCTTGACGTCTTGTGAGGTTTTCTTTCTCAAACATGGAGCCACCATTTCATCTGCAATTGCGAAGCTTCTGATCTGAAAGTATTGCATAAGAATTTGTTAAATTTTTTGTTCATTATGATATGCAAGTCGATGAGAAGTTAGCTTGGTAAATTTAACTTTTATCATTGCTAGAATAATACGTTTATATTTCTTACCTAATTTAATGTGCAAAATGAAAGGAATTTTAGTGAATTTTTGGCTTATCTACCCTTCTATCCAATTGGTGTTAGAAAAATTATAGCACTCAATAGGGAAGATTTGTTTGGGTTCTCCCCATTTTTCGTGATTTGATGCTTGTGGCTAGGTCTGTTAAAATCGGGTCGCAGGTTGGATTCGGATCAAAATCAGAATTGACCCGACACTAGTTTCCCGATCTGTTGTTGTAAATTGGGCGGGTATTTCAACCTGGATCCGGCCCGTGCAGGTTATCGTGTTGACCCGACCAGACCCGCGAACAAGTTCCGAGTGTTGGAACCGAATGGCTAGGTCAGGTGCCGAGCAGCATCGGCAGCGGCAGCAGATGCGACAACGACTGCGACGACAGCGGCGTCAACGGGAAGTGACTCACACGAAGTGGCATGTGATGCAGGTAGATGTGGTCAATCCGGGCAAACGTGATGCGGGCAACGAGCAGACGCTGTTAGCAGGGGTCAATCCGGGTCATTTTCGGGTTTCCGGGTCAACCCGAACCTGGACTGATTTTTGAAACATATCAGTTCGTTGAACCCGAACCCGACCCGTTTCTCAAACGGGTTGATCCTAACCCAAAATTTTCGAGTCGGATTTTGAGTCGTGTCAAATATTGATTTGATGCTTGCAACTCCTTTTCCGAGACGATAGTTCTCAGCATTAATATTTCTCTTTATTATGAAGATTTCGTTGGGAAGCTTCTTATTTGAAATGTGAAGCGATGACTGTTTCAATATTTTCAACTTGCCTCATAGTGTTCTCTTATGCCCAATTGTTAAGGAGGGTAATTGGAAGCCTTCTCCTTCCCTTGCATTTCTTAATCAATTGTGCTAAGACTTTCTTTGTGACATCATTGTCTAATTTACACTCTTGGGGCCTTTCGATTAGTTTTCTCCATCAAAAGTGCGAAGAAATATCTTTCCTTAATGTGTCAAACTTGGGATTGGCATGGGTTTTTTTGTTTAAAGACTTTTCTCTTGATTGGCTTACTCAAGTGGCTTAAAAATTACAGGTAACCTTACTGCTAGGGGCGTTAACATAGAGGCTATAAGATTTGCATTTCTTCCTGAATCTCATCACCATCATTTTTTTTTTATAAATGCTCCCTTTCTTTTCAGCTTCGTGATGGTTGAAGTACTAAATCACACTATATGGTTAAAAGCTCCACTTGAAGGTTTTTTTTTTTCCATTTTGGCTCTCAACGCTCTGCTTATTTATATTGGCTGCTATGCTTCTTCCAATCTCCCTGTCTTTTTGTGTTAGTTTGTCAATTGCTTTGCCAGTTATGTTGGGCTATAGGTGTTGCATCTTGGAATATTCGCGGCGATAGAGAAATATAAAATTTAATGTCTTAGTTTTGTATGAAAATCCAGCACACAAGCAAATAAAAGAGGGCGGGTTTAGCATTCATAAAAGACACCATGTTTTTTAAGTGGAAACCCCTGAAAAGGGGGGAAACCCACAGGTCTGGCCCAATTTGAATAAATTAACTATTATTTGCAGTCGATTACAAATGATGTCCTTCATTGGAGGGAAGGTCTTGGCTTGATATAACATATATACATCATATAGAATGCATTACATTGCAGAGAATCAATATTAATATGTTTGTTTAGTTGGCAGGACCATAGTCGGCGGGCAACGGAGGTCGGAAAGACTGAAGTCGGGTGACGATGGTTGGAAGGACCATAGTTGGCGGGAGACAATGGTCAGAAAAACTGTTGTCTAGCTAGGGAGGTCGGAAGGACCGTAGTAGGTGATGGTGGTCGGAAGGACCATAATCGGCAGGGGACAAGTGTTAGAAAGACCATTGTCTGGTGATGGAGGTCGGAAGGACCGTAGTCGGCAGGAGACAAGGATCAGAAAGACTATTGTATGGCGATGGAGGTCGGAAGGACCGTAGTAAATGACGGAGGTCAGAAGGATCGTAGTCGGCAGGAGGCAAGGGTCAAAAAGACCATTTTTTGGCCATGAAAGTCAAAAGGACCGTAGTAGAGAGGTCGGAAGGAACGTAGTCGGTGGGACAATGGTCAGAAAGACCACTATCTGGCGATGGAGGTTGAAAGGACAGTAGTAGGAGACGGACGTTGGAAGGATTGTAGTCGATAGGAGAAAGTGGTTAGAAAGACTGTTGTCTGGTTATGGAAGTCAGAAGGAATATAGTAGGCGACGTAGGTCGAAATGATCGTTGTCGGTAGGAGAAAGGGGTCATAAAGTTCGTTGTCTGGCGATGGAGGTTGGAAGGACCGTAGTAGGTGATAGTGCTCAAAAGGGCTGCAGTCGGCAATAAACAGGGTCAGAAAGACTGTTATTTGGTGATGGAGGTCGGAAAGACCGTTGTATGATGATGGAGGTACGAAGGACCATAGTATGCGACAGAGGACGGAAGAACAGTAGTAGGCGACAGAGGTCGAAATGACCATAGTCGGCAAGAGATAGGGGTTAGAAAGACCGTTTTCTAACGATGGAGTTCAGAAGGACCATTGTCAGTTAGAAATAGGGGTTAGAAAGACCGTTATCGTTAGGCGGTGGTCTGGTGGAAGTCCTGGCATTATTCGGTGGTCTGTCAGAACTTTAGGCTTCACGTGATGGTCCGGCGGAACTCCGGACGTTAAGTGGTGGTCCAACGAAACTCCGACGTCAGGTGGTGGTCCGATAGAACTTTCTGGTGTCAAGTATTGGTCTGGCGAAATTCTGGTGCGAGGAGGTGGTCCATCAGAGCTCCGGGTATCAAAGGTGGTCCGACGAAAGTCCAACGTCGGGTGGTGGTCTAGAAGAACTTTGGGCGTTATGTGGTGGTTCGGCGGAACTCCGCGCATCAGGTAGTGGTCCGACATAACTCCAGGCATTAGGTGTCAGTATGGCGGAACTCAGCATGATTACCAAATAATTTTTAAAAGTGACATGCTTATAGTCGAATCGAGTGGCTCGATGAGACAAATCTAACGAGCCTAAGATCACAGATTTCCGACATCATTAAGACCTTCAAATGTCCAGCAAGTGTCTACAATCAAGGGATTCAACATCGACTGTCCTTTCAAACCATTATCCATTTACATTTGATCTTCCTCCTATTTATGGGTCATGCCACTCTTTGAAATTTATAAATAGACATCTCATTCATCTTGAAGGGGGGCCAAGTAAGAGAGCAAGAGAGAGATCGAAGATCGCTCTTGCCCCTTAACTCCTCCTTGACCACCGTCTAGAGTTCTACCGGACCACCACCTTAGGTCCGGACTTTTACCGGACCACCTCCTAATGCTCGGAGTTTTGCCAGACTACCACCTAAGGCCCGGACTTCTGTTGGATCACCACCTAAGGTCCGGAGTTTTTTTAGACCACCACAAGAGGCCCGAAGTTCTACTGTACCATTGCCCGACACTAAAGCTCTGCCAAATCAACACCAGGCTACCAACTAACTCTCGAATTTTCAAGTAATGCCGGAATTCCTCCATACCACAAAGTGATGCCAGACTTTCATCCACATTTGTCGCTAGATTTCAACCATACAATTGACATTTGTAATCTGATCGCCCTCAGGGATGAGTCAACCCATTGTAATCTACCCATACACAAATGGAATCATTTTAAATTAGGCTAGGCCCCATGGTTCCCCTTTTCTTTCTAGCATTTTCTACATAAAAAATCTTGTGTTCTCTATGTGCGAGCTGGATATCCATATAAATGCTAAAACGTAGAACTTTAACTCTATCGCTGCGTATATTCTAGCCCACAATAATATATATATATATTATGTATAATGTATTTAAATAATAAATATATTTTATAGAGGTCGCCTATTTAAAAAAAAATATTTATAAAACACAGCCACTCAAGCCATCAAGTGTCGGTCGTCTCCTGTGGGCCCATCCGCCAGGTAATCAAATAGTACTTTTTTATATGAAGAAGAAATAACTAAAAATAAAAAAAATATCCGCAGTTGGAGAGTCGTCGCTTTCAATCCAAGGCTCCGCTGGCTTTTCACTATATCTCAGCCCAGACAGCCGATCGTCGGTGAGATAGGTTTAGGAGTTCACGTTAGTCTCTCCTTCTCCCTCTCCTCTCCTCTTCAGTTGGGCAACTTGAAGTGAGAGCTGAGGTAGGTCTTTTTGGTTAAGCGGAGTAATCGGATCAAGCATTTGATCGAGCACTTCGGCTGCGGGCTGCTTACTCCGATCTCGTCTTCTCAGGTCTTCTGAAGGTTGGAGAGCTTCTGTCTATTCTGCTAAATTGAATGCGGTTTCACTAGAAGCTATGCGTCAGTGAATCACACACTGCAAGATCTGTCAAGAAACTCCCAGATCTGATGGCGGCTGAGGGGGAAACGAGGGTTGGTATCTCTATCAAACAATTGTTTTACTGATTTGTGTCTGTTGTAGCGTGATTTACGTTACTGGTGTGATTCTGATTTGTTTGATCTTGATTGGGATAAAGATGCATGGTAAGCATGAGAACGGGCAAGTATGCCAAATCTGCGGGGATGGTGTTGGCAACACGGTGGAGGGAGATGTCTTTGTGGCTTGTGACATCTGCGGATTCCCGGTCTGCAGGCCGTGCTATGACTATGAGAGGAAGCACGGGAACCAATGCTGTCCTCAATGCAAGACCAAGTATAAAAGGCATAAAGGTTTGATTCTCGGCCTGCTTGCATGCTGATGATTGTTTGATGACATCTTTCGTCGTCGTTTCTCCATGAAATTTTTTTAGTTGACGTGCTGGTCACCTGTAATGATTTTTCATGTTATTGAAATTTTAGGGAGCCCGCCAATCCACGGTGAGGAAGGGGATGAAGTAGATGCGGATGATTCGAGCGATTTTGATTATCCGTCAGGCAATCAGGATCAGAAGCAGAAGCCTGCCGACAAAATGATTGGCTGGCATATGAACTATGAAAAAGGAGGAAATCATGGATTTCCAAAGTATGACAGTGGGGAGATCCCACGGAACAACATCCCTTTGCTCACTCATAGTCGAAGCCAAGAGGTATGCAGTAAATTTATTCTGATAAGCAGATTTGTGAATGTGATGATGGGATGATATTGAATTTGATTGTTTTATTTATGAGTAATTTGGAGATGCTAATCCATGTTTATATAATCAATTTTGTGTTTAGCTATCTGGGGAACTGCCAGGGGCATCCCCAGATCATATGATGTCTCCAGGTGATGTTGGCAAGCGTGTGCATCAACTCCCTTATGTGAACCATTCACGTACGGATTCAATTCATTTTGGTTTTTGCCAGTTTGATCAATGCACTTTATCAATCTACTATATTTTTGTGCCTGTTTTGATGCTTATTATGAATGAATGCGTTGATCAGCTAACCCCTCAAGGGAATTCTCTGGTGGATTTGGAAATGTGGCATGGAAAGAGAGAGTTGATGGATGGAAAATGAAGCAAGATAAAAATGTACCTCCAATGGCCACAAATGTCACTAGCCATGCTCCGTCTGAGGGGAGGGCTGTTACTGATATTGATGCTGCAACTGATTACAACATGGAAGATGCTTTATTGTGAGTTTATTGTTTTCAAAATGTAGTCATGCAAATTTTACTTTAAGCGACAAACTTAATTTTTATAAGCTTCTTATGTGAATGTGAATGGCTTGTTTTCCTTAGCATGCTTTGTTTGTAGTTAATTCTATCAGTTAAATAGTATTTTTTTCATGGCTTATTGTACTGATACCCTTTAATCTTAAATGCATAATATATTTCATGCTCTAGTCCATCACATCCATGATTTATGCTAATTGTTGCATGAGCTATTCTGATTGTTAGAAATTTTGAATGTTTTTGATAGATTGTTGATAAAATTTCCACAATTTCATTGTCATAATATAAATTTGGCACTGTCATAGTAACCTGGCTGATTAACACATAACTTTTTTAATCGGTTTGAGCAATTTCCGCAAACTTTGCTTACATGTCCCTTGACCTTGGTTCATTGATAGTATAGTTAGTATAGCCCAATTTCTACAATCATCTCAAATATTTGATCTCTGATATGTCAAAGCGGTAAAATTCTTTCTTGCAATCCAAATTAAAATTAACATATTTTTTTGCATGTTAAAAATCTTGGCAGCGTCACCGTGGCACAATAGATTAATGGTGTGACTACAAATCTGGGTAAAACTCTGGGGGCATGCATAATAATAAAAAATGATTGTTATTCCTTAGAGCAGAAAGTATAAAACCATCGTGCATGATATTCTTTCAAAGAAGGAGATTTTCTCACTGATTTGAACCCATCACTTTTTCTCAAAAGAGAATGGGGTGATACCGCTTGTTTCAAAGGTTGTTCTTATAATCTTATATATGTTATTTTCAAGAATATCAACCGTTTAAGGATTTTATACCTGCAATACTTGATGCCCCACTGTCATAGATTGGTAAACTAATCAACTTTATCTGTCAAACCCGAATTATTTGGCCGTCATTTATTTTCCATTTTTCAGTTTATAGTAGGGATTTTTTATTTCAGTTTCTTTTGCCTATATATATATATAATTCACTTTAGGAATTCCTTATATGGCTTGTGGCCAATAGAAGTGCCATATGCTTTCGCACGAGTTTTTAATGTTTAAATGACTTTTACTCATGACAAACTTCTATGATGCAGTAATGATGAAACTCGGCAGCCTCTTTCAAGGAAAGTTTCTATCCCATCATCAAGGATAAACCCATACAGGATGGTCATTGCATTGCGACTAGTTATCCTTTGTATTTTCTTGCACTACCGTATCACAAATCCTGTGCGTAATGCATATCCTTTGTGGTTACTGTCTGTGATATGTGAGATCTGGTTCGCAATGTCGTGGATACTGGATCAGTTCCCCAAGTGGTTTCCTGTAAACCGAGAAACATATCTTGATAGACTAGCTATAAGGTATCTTCTGCAATTTTAGTCTTCATTTTATTACAGTGAATTGCCATCAACTTCCCAAATCATTCTTATTTAGTGAAGCTGTTATGTCTTGTTACTTTGGTGACAGGTATGACAGAGAAGGTGAACCATCTCAGTTGGCTGCTGTGGACATATTTGTCAGTACTGTGGACCCTTCGAAGGAACCGCCTTTAGTCACTGCCAATACTGTTTTGTCCATTCTTGCGGTGGATTATCCTGTTGATAAGGTATCCTGTTATGTCTCTGATGATGGAGCTGCTATGTTGACCTTTGAAGCCCTCTCTGAAACTTCAGAATTTGCAAGAAAATGGGTCCCATTTTGTAAGAAATACAATATTGAACCCCGAGCTCCAGAATGGTACTTTGCCCAGAAGATTGACTACCTAAAAGATAAGGTTCAGCCTTCATTTGTCAAAGATCGTCGAGCAATGAAGGTACATGACCTTGATTGTCAAACATGGGTGAATTATAGGCTCTTTTAAATTTTATTACTTCACCTACACTTTATATGATGCAGAGAGAATATGAAGAGTTTAAAGTTCGTGTTAATGGTCTTGTGGCAAAAGCACAGAAGATTCCTGAAGAAGGATGGATCATGCAAGATGGCACACCTTGGCCAGGAAACAACACAAGAGATCATCCTGGAATGATTCAGGTAGTTCCTTTCAGATCCTGTTTGTTTTTAAGGGTGAAAAAAAGATTTATCAACCCGTTGCATTATCTTTTTGTTTTCAAAACGCTGACTATATGTTGCAAGCCTACGATCTACCGAAAGTGCTTATCTCTTCAAAATTAGAGGATTTAGGGAAGGCAGATTGCTAGTATTTAAGGTTTAAATTTCAGGATTAGGTAAGTTTGTTGATAATTTGATGCAGAATTCATGAATTATGCCGTAGATATTTTTCATTAACCAATGCTTTGTACATGTTTTTACAATGTCATTGATTTTTTAGCCGTTTGTATGCATATTTTTAGCAAACTAGTTTTTAGTGCTATATAATAAAATTACTTTGCATCATTTTTGTGTTAAGTCTGTATAAACTAGAACTTGCACTCTGTTATTTTTTATGATTTCAGGTTTTCTTAGGCCACAGTGGAGGCCTTGACAGTGAAGGCAATGAGCTGCCACGATTGGTCTATGTTTCTCGTGAAAAGCGTCCTGGTTTCCAACATCACAAGAAGGCTGGTGCTATGAATGCACTGGTAAGTGAACAAACTTGAAAATGTGTATTATAAATGCAAATGGAATTGTCAACAAGGCCTGCATACGTTGTTTTAATTTTTTTTTTTACACAAGTTAGGCTATTTTCATAACCCAACATCTTTGCAGGTACGTGTATCAGCTGTCCTTACCAATGGGTCTTATCTGTTAAATCTTGACTGTGATCACTACATAAACAATAGCAAGGCGTTGAGAGAAGCTATGTGTTTTCTCATGGATCCTAATCTTGGAAGGTCTGTTTGTTATGTACAATTTCCACAAAGATTTGATGGCATTGATAGGAATGATCGTTACGCCAATCGCAATACTGTGTTTTTTGATGTAAGTAGAGCTCTCCTGTGTGAATTCTTTACCTGTTAATAATCTTCTATTTTGTTAAGATGTGATTACTGATTAGTAAGAGAGATTGAAATTTTAATTAGAATGCTAGGATTTTCCTGTAATATTTTCTAATGGTGCTTCCTTGTGACCTGTTAAAATGCAGGCCACCATTGGATATTTTTGTCTGACACATTTTCCATGCCCCACTTGATCAAAAAGTGTATTGAAAATTTTTTGACGAGAAATTGTCTTAATTTTGAGTTTCATTGATGGAACGTTTATGTTTGTGTGTATTTGTGATGAGTTTTTTTTTTTTTAAGTGAAGGAACATTAGCTAGAGTTTTATGTTAGCTCCACAAAATACGCAAGTTGTTTATTTAATTCAACAAATTTCAAGGTTAATTTTATTTGCAGCATTAAAAACAATATTTGTCCAATTCCATGAACATTAGCTTGAAAATGAATGTACAAATGTTTTAATGTTTTGTAATTGTATCCTCATGAGTTCCTTTGTTTTTGTATTCGCCTAATGTTGGTAACTCTGAAGATGTGTGCTTTGGTGCTGGTGGATTTTCATTGTTTATTTAGATAATAAGGTGTAAAATTAAGGCTCCATTCCTCACCCCCCATCCCCAAAAAAAATGATAAGCATTATTATTATTATTATTATTATTAAGCAAAAAAACACTCAAAAGTTTTCAATTGTTTGATAGCAAAGCAGAATAAGAGAAAAGAGAGGTAGGAGTCCAACGGAAGGAATGTTATGAAGTAATCAATATAAAAGAATGAGAAAGAGAGCATAACTTTTTGAGGCCTAGGATTTAGTGGAGTAATAGATAACTACATATGAGTAAATCAAACTAAAATAATCATATGAACTTTTGAGCCTTGTAACATAGCGTAGATGCATTCTTTATTTAAATATGTTAATTAAGAAAATAACATAGAAATTCATACTATAGGATGTATTTTTTTTTCTAACCAACTTATTTATTATTGCTCTGTAGATTAATTTAAGAGGTCTTGATGGTATTCAAGGTCCGGTTTATGTGGGCACTGGTTGTGTCTTCAATAGAACTGCGTTGTATGGTTATGAACCTCCAGTCAAAAACAAGTCTAGAAACAGTGGCTTTTTCTCTTTATGCTGTGGTGGCTCTCGCAAGAAGAATTCCAAGTCTAAGAAGAAGAGTTCTGACAATAAGAAACAAAGCAAGCACGTTGATAATACTGTACCTATATTCAACCTGGAAGATATAGAAGAAGGTGTTGAAGGTAATGCTGATATAGTTTCCTTTGATTTTATTTATTCATAAAATCCATGTAAGAATTTTTTTTTATTCAAGCATTGACTTTATTATGATCTAACAATATAATTGTTTATCCTAGTTTTATATTTCTAGTTAATTCTATTTTTAGTTAATTCTATTTATATTTAGAATGTTTTACTTTTAAGAGCTTACGAGAAAATCGTGATAAATTGATTATTATTGTGCAAACACTATTTTCTCCTTATTCAAAAGTTGCCATTCTTGTCCTTTTTCAATGAAGGGATAAACTTAAACCGAAATGGTGTCCAATCATCTATAGATGTAAGTTCAAATATGTTGACTCCAGCATCGCTTTATGACTTATTTCTGCTCTTCCATTCATCTGATTGTGTAGTAATATTGCCTTTGGAATAACTACTTCTGATGATATTTCTATTTAAATCATGCAATGTTGAACTAAATAGAAATAGGACTTCTAATCAACCAGCCCCACAAAATAATTAAAATAAATAGCTTTTGGAAGTATTAATACCTTGATAACAAAATAAAAGAATAATTAAAGCTGATTTACTACATTCAGTTGTTATTTGAAACGTAGATTGCTTTCCTAGTCATTTGCAGTTTTGTCCCTACCACCAATAAGGTTATGAAGGACTTGCTAAGCGGGCTGTATTTTTTTTTTATTGTGCTGCTAGTTTTATCTGTTTGCATCAAAATATTTATGCGTTATGCTTACATTAGACGATCCTCTTGGCAAAGCAGATGGCTGCCTCCTAGTTTATGAGATCAAGCTTTATCTGCTTTTTTATCCTGCCAAAAAACTTGAGTGACCTCTCCTGTCACTCGTTAAAATACAGGTGCTGGATTTGATGACGAGAAATCACTTCTAATGTCACAAATGAGCTTGGAGAAAAGATTTGGCCAGTCTTCTGTCTTTGTCGCTTCTACTCTTATGGAGCATGGCGGTGTTCCTCAATCCGCAACACCTGAGTCTCTTTTAAAAGAAGCTATTCATGTCATCAGCTGTGGCTACGAGGATAAAACTGACTGGGGAAGTGAGGTAAGGAGGCAATCATAATTTTGCATTTTATTTTTAATGGCAATTTCATCAATTATTGCACTGCTGATACATCCCCTCGATTGTAATGTAATCTCATAGTTGTTAGCGGCAAAGAAAATGACAGTTATTAGATCAACTATATTTTTGGATTTATGATTCACATGCACCCCATCATTTGTTTTGTTACTTTTTAAAGGAATACAATTGTCTTGTATGAATAACTTTTCATCCTGTATTTTCTTTATGAACTCATTTTAATGCAGGATGACTTAGGATTAGGGTATTTAAATGCAATTAATATGATGCGTAGCATGCTTTCAAACAAAGAAAAATATATCATTAAGAAGTCACAATTTACTGATTAATCCAACGACGAGATAGTAGAGTTTATGTTGATAAAAAATTAAAAATATGAGAATTTTAGTAAGAATTTCAGAACAAATAAAATAAGATAATAAGAATAGTTAATTTCCACAAAATTAGAACTTCTACAAATCACTTTTTTGGCAAAATCAAGAGTATTATATTAGTCAACAATAAATCATTTAGAGGAACCAGACAATGGTATTACCAAAGTAAAGTGAATTAGGCCTTACAAGGACAGAAGGAGATAACTTCCCCCTAAATTAGATGGTCACTCTTGTATCTCACTGAAAGGAATCACACGTCTAACACTCACAAAATTGAACTAGAAAAGAAAATATCTATTCATTTTAAAAGTTTTTAATTTCATAGCTTTAATCAAAATTTATAGAGTCCTAATAACCTAACATACCTAAGATAGTAGATAAAGTTGTTGCAAGGTCTTTCTCAATATAAATTTAACTTAATTCCACTGGATAAAATGTTTCTAATTGTAATCTAAAATTTCCAATTCAGCTAATCAACAATAAAATTTGAATTTCCCAAATCATGCAGATACCTCATTTAATTATCTAAATTGTGATTTCTATCCACTTACTCGGCAAGTTAAAATGTAATATTAATAAATTTATTGCATTTGATTCTCAAGTTGATTGTTCTTCTTTATCATAATTTTCAACCAAAGTTCTTCATAATAATTATGTTGATTTATTATTGTCAGCCTCCTAATTATATTGTTATTTGCTCCTTTAGATTGGCTGGATTTATGGTTCTGTCACAGAAGATATTCTAACGGGATTCAAAATGCATGCTCGCGGATGGCGCTCGATTTATTGCATGCCTGAGCTTCCTGCTTTCAAGGGATCTGCGCCTATTAACCTTTCAGACCGTCTGAATCAAGTTCTGCGATGGGCCCTCGGATCCGTTGAGATTCTCTTTAGCCGGCACTGTCCCATATGGTATGGATATGGTGGACGGCTCAAATTTCTTGAGAGATTTGCATACATTAATACAACCATTTACCCACTCACCTCAATACCACTTCTTTTGTACTGTACATTGCCTGCTGTCTGTCTACTCACTGGAAAATTCATCATCCCTCAGGTACTCATCCAAATGCCCCACTTATCTAATTTTTCTTCTTTGAAGTTTGGTTGGCTTCTTAGGCTTCGTTTGGGACGGCTTTCTTCCTGCTTCTTAAAACTGCTTTTTAGTATAAAAATTAAAGTTTTTGTATTAAAAAGCTGCTTTAAGAAGAAGTAAAAAAACCGTCCCAAATGAAGCTTTATTCACAACTGAAAAAGAAACTTTCAATGATGGTGGGTTTTGGTTAAAACCAAAACTAATCATATTGTATGTTAATGTCACATTTTACCATTGTATGAATTACAAATCTTAGCCAGCAAAATCAATCAGATTAATTATATTAAATTAAATCCAAATGCCCCACTTATCTAATTTTTCTTCTTTGAAGTTTGGTTGGCTTCTTAGGCTTCATTTGGGACAGCTTCCTTCTTGCTATTTAAAATAGTTTTTTAGTACAAAAATTAAAATTTTTGTATTAGAAAGCTGCTTTAAGAAGAAGTAAAAAAGTTGTTCCAAACGAAGCCTTATTCACAACTGAAAAGAAACTTTCAATGATCGTGGATTTTGGTTAAAACCAAAACTAATCATATTGTATGTTAATGCCGCAATTTACCATTGTAAGAATTTCAAATCTTAGCCAGCAAAATCTATTAGATTAATTATATTAAATTGATCCATCTCTGAACCATTGTTGATCATGTTATACAATCAATAGTTCTGATTCTGAAACAGGCAGATCTTACTGTATGACCAATGATCGAACAATAGGAACATGCAATATTTTGAAATTTCAGAACAAATTTCAATTAATGGTTGTTTGAGTTTGATTATGAAAGGCTGATTAATGCCATGGAGCTATTAGTGGACAGTTTGAAAGAGGATTGATTATAATATAAGTGTGAGATACCCTAATTTAAATATCTTGATTATAATATAAGTGTGAGATACCCTAATACTCTTCGTTGCTCAACTGATTCATCATCTCAAAGAAATTTTGATGTAGGTATCCTCGCACAATTTTTTCCAGTACTATTTTTTTTCTAGAACTTGACAAGTCGTCTTCTTTATATACTGTACAGAAACATTGACCGTCTAAATTATTTTGTCCTCTCCACAACTCATCTAAATAGCTTTCGAGTTTTCAGTAGCTTTCACTGCCCTCCTTGCTGAAATGTGCTTCACTTCCAATGCAGATCAGCAACTTTGCAAGTCTTTGGTTCATCTCCCTCTTCATCTCAATCTTCGCCACCGGCATCTTGGAGATGAGATGGAGCGGTGTCGGCATCGATGAATGGTGGAGGAATGAACAGTTTTGGGTCATCGGAGGCGTCTCCGCCCATCTTTTCGCCGTATTCCAAGGCCTTCTAAAAGTTCTCGCCGGTATCGACACAAACTTCACCGTCACTTCCAAGGCTTCAGATGAGGAAGGAGATTTCACAGAACTCTACATGTTCAAATGGACCACACTTCTGATACCACCCACAACTCTCTTGATCATAAACCTCGTCGGCGTCGTTGCCGGAATATCATATGCCATTAACAGTGGTTATCAGTCATGGGGACCTCTCTTTGGCAAGCTTTTTTTTGCCTTCTGGGTCATTGTTCATCTCTACCCATTCCTCAAGGGTCTAATGGGCCGGCAGAATCGAACCCCGACCATCGTCGTGGTCTGGTCTATTCTTCTTGCCTCTATATTCAGCTTGTTGTGGGTTCGAATTGACCCTTTCACCACCAGAGTTACAGGTCCAGATGTGCAGCAGTGTGGAATCAATTGCTAGAGAGTAAATCACCTTCAAAGAAAGGTAAGATTTAGTGGCGGAGCCAGAAATTTTGTTCAGGGGGGGGCCTAATGAAAGCTGCACTCGAGGTCGTGACTCGTGATCAGTCGCGAGAGAGGAGTAAAAGGGAAAACAAACAATTGATACTTTTTATGTGTCCAAAAAATAATGTTGGTGGCTTCCCTGGATTAATAAATAACTTTAAAGGAAGAATTACAAAAATTATAGCATGTTTTCTCGTTGCCGAATTTGTTGCTCTATTAAGCCACTAAAACAATCAACTTTAAGCCCATTTAGGCTTTCAGTTTTAGCTTTAGCTAAATCAATAATAATACACAATATATATGTGGTTAGGTGCGATGTCATGACTGTGCGATGATCGCAGCATTTTTATTGAGCAAAAAGAGCTAGGAAAAATAAAATCATTCACAAGAATTAATTAGATCATTAGGATTAGGAGTGTAAAAATAATTCGATAATTGGGTGGTAATTTAATATTTAATAATTATTATTAGATAATGAATATTTAATTAAGAATAAAGTTTTAATAAAATCATATTTAAAAAATTAAATATTTTAAATAATAATTAATTAAATAACACTACCACACAGCTTCAAAATCTCTTTCCAAAATCATTCCTCTCTCTGCCTCTCTCTCTCTCAATACTTTGCCCCATTAGTCTCTCTCTCTATCTCCGGCTGCAATTTTTTTTTTTGGAAAAGCGGCTGAAGAATTGCATGGTCCTAGTACACAGTGGATTGAAGACTTGAAATGGAAAAGTCTTGTGATAAATGAAAGCTGCCCCCCTTCCCTCCGCCCATGCTTGACGGTGAGACTAATTCTCGACTGACCTAAAAGATGCATACATTTCAGAAATCTCTTGGTCCATACTTGATGGGTCCCACTTAAAGAGACTGTAGCTCGAGGGGAATAGAGCACGGGTTGAGGGGTTTTCAATCGTACTCACCCGACAGCCAAGCTAAGCAATGATGGGTAAATTATTATATTTTATTAGATATAATGAGTACCCTCTTTTAAATATAATAAAAATTATCATTTTAAATGTTTTTTTATCAAAACTTTTTAGATCTCTATTTTTTTAACTTAAGCAGGATCTAATACATCTATTCTCAATTGTATTACCAAAAGCCTAATATTTTATTTGACTAAATTATATAAGACTTCATTTGGGATCATTATTTTTACTGTTTCTAAATAAGCATTTCAGTAAAAGTTTTCTAATTAAAAAATATTTATATTAAAAAACTGTTTTGAAAAACAGAAATAAAGTTATTTATAAATATATATTAAATATTAAAAAAAACAAAAAATGACAGAAGACAAGCTACTTGGACTCTAATAATTGATCTGCAAAGCTTCTGTTTGGTAAACATTGGGAAATATGCCCATAAATTGTAATGGGTGATGTATGACGTGTCAGTCTCAGAGTGGGTCCCATCTCTGCGCTGGATAACATGTGATCACGCCCGATGGATCTCATGCAATACTGATTCATCAGAAAATTTAAACATAAGAGGGGTTTGCTTTGAAATATTTTTAAAGCTTGGATTCACATAACTTTCATAGGGGATTTACATTCATAAGCTAAATTTTACTATTTATTCACATAATATTTAAATTTTAAATTTTAAAAAAACATTACTTATCCGTGAATATTTCGTTCGCTATTATATCCCATTAAAATTTCATAAACCTTCAAAATATTATAGTCCATCACCACTTTGCATCTCACCGATCTAGACGGGATGCATAATAAGAGAAAAGGCATACTGTACTTTCTTTAGGACATCTTTGTAAATATTAGCTGGATTCTCCTCCCTATCTCTCTATATATACTAATATGTAAACATTACTTTTACATAATACATAGAACTCTATTTTCTATTACAAGCTCTGTTTCGTGTTCTCTTCCTTCTTCTCCATTCTGTCATGGTATCAGAGCCAAGTTGGCTCCATGGCTGATCAAGAATCAGCTATTTCTCCCACCTCCGCCCCTGGTTCTCACTCCAGCGCCACCTCCAATTACATCGCACCGGCGCCCTTGAAGTTTTTGATCTCCAACCTCAAGACTCTCGTTCCCAATTCCTTGTCATCAGAGAACTATCATATTTGGTGTATCCAGATCTTGCAGCATTTTTCGGCGAATGGTTTCGCCGACTTTCTCATAGGAGTGACTTCTTGTCCCTCAGACCAATCTAGCGAAGCCTTCTTCAAATGGAGCTTGATCGACCGAATCCTGATCTCGGCGCTCCTCTCTACCATTTCTCATGCCATTCTCCCGTATGTTCTGACCCCCTCCACTGCCCACGACGTTTGGCAGATTCTTGAAAGGCGAATGCAACCTAACATTCGTTCTCGAGTCATCCAACTCAAGAATGAGCTCCATAACATCAAGATGAACAATTCCACTATGCAGCAATATCTAATGCAGATCAAGAACCAGGTAGATAATATTGCCTTATCGGGCTCTCAAATTGACACCGAAGACATCCTCATTTACATCCTGAACGGACTCCCCTCCACCTATAACTCCTTCAATACCTCTATTCGCACATCCCTGCATCCTATAGACCTCGACACTCTCTACTCGTTGCTTTGCAGCGAAGAAATCACAATGCAGCGAGAACATCAGAAAGAAGTTGGGGCAAATCTGGACAATTCGGCCTTTTACACGTCTCGGACAGGCTTGAACAGAGGAAATGGCTCAAATCACAATTTCAATAATCAGAAACTTGACAGTCGATCTACTTCTGATTACTCCTCTCCTTCCCAACCGAACCAACCCACATCCAAGATCGCTTGCCCAACATGTCAAATTTGTGGCAAACCAGGCCACATTGCGTTGAATTGTTGGCATAGAAACAATCCTAAATACGCTCCTTCCACTCCACCCAATCAGCGAGCTCTTCTTTCTCAGCAAACTCCGGCCTCTATAAAGGATTGGATTCTTGACTCCGGTGCATCAAGCCACCTGGATTTCAGCAATCTCCATCACGGATCTAGCTACCAAGGTCCGGATACCATCTCCACAGCGAACAACGCTTCTCTTCCCATTCAGCATTCCGGTCAAGGACTCCTTCCTCTCCCCGACTCGGCTCGTAAGCTTGACCTACGCAATTTACTTCACGTTCCTGCGCTTACTCATAATCTTATTTCAATTTCAAAACTAACCAAAGACAACAAAGTTTCTATCTCTTTTGACACAAATGGCTTTGTCATTAAGGATGGTCAGGATCACCGCCCACTTCTTCTTGGTCAACTACATAATGGCCTATACTGCTTGCGGAACCTCCCCCCGGCTCGTCCCACTACCCTTCTTGCTCGGCAGTCGTCTACCCTTCTCTGGCACGCGAGACTTGGTCACCCTCACACTGGAGTCCTCACGCGGCTTCATCACCTGATACCGTCTCTAGCACTTGATACTACTAAGTTTCATTGTAATTCTTGTATCATGGCTAAATGCCATAAACTTCATTTTAATAAACGAACCACAGATTCATCGCATGCTTTTAAATTGATTCACTCTAACGTTTGGGGCCCGGCTCCTATACAATCGTTAAACGGATTTAAATACTATATTATTTTTGTTGACGATTTCTCAAAATTTACTTGGCTCTATCTGATGCATTCCAAACGTGAAACATTTTCCAAATTTACTCATTTCTGTGCTCTAGTTAAAAACATTTTTAATGCTACACCTAAAGTTTTTAGATCTGATGGCGGCGGAGAATTTTATAGTACACAGTTTAAAACATTTCTCTCCTCACACGGCATTCTTCATCAAACCAGCTACCCGCACACTCCAGAACAAAATGAACTCGCTGAACGAAAACATCGCCATCTCCTGGAACTCACGCGTACTCTCTTGCACGACGCCAATCTGCCCAAACAATTTTGGCCTGAAGCTGTCACCACGGAAACCTATCTAATCAATAGGCTACCGTCCAAGGCCATCTCAAACCAAATTCCCAATCAAATTATCCATGGCATTGCACCGACTTACGATCATCTTCGTATTTTCAGCTGTCTTTGCTATCCGTGGCTGCGACCGTATGCCACAGACAAACTATCACCCCGCTCTCAACCGTGCGTCTTCCTCGGCTACTCGTCACACCAAAAAGGCTATAAGTGCTTTAACACAAGCACTAACAAAATTCATATTTCTCGCCATGTAACCTTTCAGGAACACATCTTTCCTTATCAGCAATCTACGGTTAACTCCATTTCCCCTCAAGACGCTCCGCCTCAGTTTATTTCACCACTTCTTACAACCCCTACGTCTATTTCGCACACCACTGACCATGCTACTCCCACGGTGATCCAACAAACTTGTCCAGCTCCCGTCTGTACTCCAGACGCCAATACTCATACTCGGACCACAGAGGCTGATCCTCCGTTGCCTGATCCACCGCCTGTTCAAACACATCCAATGCAGACACGGGCCAAATCGGGAATTTACAAGCCCAAACAGATATATGGTCTATTGGCCACAACTTCTACTTTGTCCACTCCTACCACTTACACTCAGGCTTCCAAAATTCCGCATTGGCAGTCCGCAATGGAAGAGGAATTTTCAGCTCTTCAGCGTCAAGGTACGTGGACCCTCATTCCACCACCCATTCACGATCTGATCCTCGGCTGCAAATGGACGTTCAAAACAAAACTACTACCAAACGGGAAGGTCGATCGCTACAAGGCTCGTTTAGTTGCCCAGGGCTTCAATCAAACTCTCGGTGTCAATTATATTGAAACCTTCTGTCCTGTCGCCAAGATGCCAACCATTCGGTTTCTCTTAACTGTGGCACTTCACCGGCAATGGTCTATACTTCAACTTGATATCTCAAACGCATTCCTCCATGGCGATCTAACGGACACGGTGTATATGTGTCAACCCGCCGGGTTCATTGACACAAAGCATCCGCATTATGTTTGCCAACTTCACAAATCTCTCTACGGCCTTAAACAAGCACCGAGACAGTGGTTTCACAAACTCACGTCTCTCCTTATACAGTTTGGATTCAGGTTTAGTCGTTCCGATCCATCTCTCCTTATTTTTCACCACAACAATATTCAATTATATTTTTTAATCTATGTCGATGACATTCTCTTAACAGGAAACGATCACTCAACAATTCAATCTCTTCTTTAATTTCTCCGCTCTCACTTCGCTCTAAAACAACTAGGCAATGTAACCTTGTTCCTAGGCATTCAAATTCTCAAAACCTCCTCCGGATACCTGCTAAATCAACGGCACTATGCTATCAAGATTCTTCAAGATGCTGGACTACAAGACTGCAGCATTGCTCCCACTCCGATCACGCCGTCTCGCTCTACTTTCGATCCAGACGACAAGCCATTTGCCGACCCACATCTCTACCGCAAGATAGCTGGGTCTTTGCAATACCTTTCCATTACTCGACCGGATATCGCATTTGCTGCCAACCGCATATGTCAACATATGCATGCCCCCACCGACCGTCATTTTCAGATGCTCAAGAGATTGCTCCGATACATTAAAGGATCTCTCAACTCCGGTCTACCGATCTCACCAGGCAATCTGACTCTTCGTACGTACGTCGATGCCGACTGGGCATCCGACAGCTCCAACCGAAAATCCGTCTCAGGATTCTGTACCTATCTTGGCAACGCCCTCATCTCCTGGTCCGTCAAGAAGCAAGCAACCGTTGCAGAGTCGTCTATTGAGGCAGAGTACCGATCTCTCTCCGCTGCCGCCTCTGATGTTATATGGCTCCGCCGTTTAGTAGAGGAACTACATCTGCCTCAAGAAGCTCCCACTACCATCTACTACGATAACACTTCCGCTATAACACTCGCAAGGAATCCCGTCTTCCACGCTCGCACTAAACACATCGAACTTGACTACCACTTTCTTCGTCAACACATTGACAATGGTGCAATCCACATAGAACACATCAGTTCTGTCGATTAGATTGCCGACATCTTCATAAGCCTCTGGCCATTACTAGATTTCACATTTTACGTGACAAACTGATCCTTCCAGTACATAATGCTCAGTTTGCAGGGGGCTAATAAGAGAAACGGCATGCTGTACTTTCTTTAGGACATCTTTGTAAATATTAGCTGGATTCTCCTCCCTATCTCTCTATATATACCAATATGTAAACATTACTTTTACATAATACATAGAACTCTATTTTCTATTACAAGCTCTGTTCCGTGTTCTCTTCCTTCTTCTCCATTCTGTCAATGCATATATAAGACAATTTTGATTGAGCTTGATAGGATAAGTCAATAATGCATGGATGTTACCAATATAAGTAAAATTATTTATCGCTCGCTATGCATTTTGACCTTAATTCTCAAAATCCTCCCAAAAAAGTATGAGGAAGTTGCTACGGAGGTTGTTAGGGTAAAGCATTAATGAAGCTTATGAAAGTATAGGGGTGTCAAAATCTGGTTACAGGTCGGGCTCTGGTCGAACCCAACATTAACCTACTATAATTTTTTATAAAGGTGATTGTGTAGCTATTGTGAGGACGGTAATTTTCTTAAGAGTGTTATATATATTAATGTCACAAATTTATGAAAAATAGGGAGAAATCAGCAAGAATATAGTAGCCAAATAGAATTATGCTTACGATCTAAAAAGCAAAACATTTAGAAGTTGTCCCAAATAAACCCTAAGTTACTTCTTAAAAATCAAATTGATTGTTTATTGTTTAAGTGATGTTTAATTTCTACCTTTATTATGTCATAACTAATAAATATATATATGTTGAGAAAGTCATAATTTATTGTTTAAGGGTCTTAAAATACAACATTTTTTGAAATCATTAATTAACAAATTAAGTATTTGTTGATCCCTTTCTCTATCTTCCTTTGTAGCCCATCTAAGAAAAATTAGCTCAAATTTAGTATAATATAAGATTTAATTGATTTCTTATGGATTATACTCTTTTTTAAATATATTTAATATTTTTAATATTTATCCTGATCAAAATTTAATCAGATATTGATCTAAAATTTTCCCTTAAGAAAATATATAGATTCCTTAAAAAATTAGGCTTTATTTGAATAGAAAGATGTTTTTAATATAATTTAATTAAAGCATGCTTTTCACTTCAAAAGAATGAGCATGTAATAAATGCACTTTGGCCCCTCTAGTTTGCTTAATGATGTAAAATATATTTTTAAAAAAAATTATTATTTTTTAAAACTATATTTTGTGTGTAATTAAAACTATAACATAAAAAAAATTTGGAAAAAAAATGGAGTTCATAATGAATATGATTTCCTAACCAAATCAAATAAATGATCAGTTTATCTTGTATTTATATATCTACCACAAAAATTTTAATATTTACTAATAAACTATTTTAATATCTTAAATTATATCAAAACATATGCAAAAAATATGTATTATGTTTTTTTAAAAAATGCTATTAGTAGTATTTTTAATATAATTTAAAGATTAGAATATTATATAAATAATATTAAAATTTAAATATTAAATACTTAAATACATATAATTATGTGGTATGTATGCATGTCCCCCCATTTTTTATTATATATTACATAAATTCAATATTAAAATATATTAATTTGAAATTTAAACAGTATTTTTTTTTTTAAAATCTAAGATACATAAATGCTTATAAGCTGTCCTTTTGAATGGTCATAGTAGATACAAAGATATAGCAACAAACAAAAGTTGTGGGAAAAAACGCCACTAAACTACAAAGCATCTGACCAACTTCTTTCCCCTCAAAACCTCCATTAACTCTCCCTTCTCTTGTAATTGCTATCACTATCACCACCATGCTTTTGCGCCTTCTCATAGAGAGATCCGAGCAAGATCAATCAACCCCGTCGCCTCCATCATCATCGACTTCGGGCCATTCTGCACCAAAGTCGATCGAGACACTGGTTGTCATCGTGGCGGTAATCGTCATCATCGCCATGCTCGCTGGGATGCTTGCTCGAATCTGTGGCGGACGCCTTCTTGTTGTTGGTGGCGATCATGATATCGAGGGATGGGTGGAGAGGAAATGTCGAAGCTGTATTGATTCTGGCGTTCCTCCGCCGCCTCCTATGACGACAAATGTAGTTGCCTCCGAAGAGGTAAAGAAGTGATTGTATGGTTTATTTCGAAGATTAACTAACTTCTATAATGAAGTTGTTGTTTGATTCTTTTCTGTTGCATTATATCCATATGATGATATTGTTATCATTGAAAACTTTTTTTTTTTTTAAGCTCGACATTAAGCTTGATACAAAGCTCGATAAAAGCTTGATTCGTGTTCGATTTTGAACTCGTGAATAAGCTCGATAAAAATAATTAATATTTGATTGTAGAATTAATAAATATAAATAATCATTGCCTTTGTTATATAGACAATTGGTTTTATTATAAATGTGTTTGTTCATAGATATATTCATGAATGTGTTTGTTTTATAATTAAAAAAAATTCGTTAAATATGTTCGTGAACAAGCTCGATAAGCACTAAATGAACGAACATGAACAAAACATGAACCGAACATGAACACTCATTAATTTAAATGAACCAAACATGAACACAAACAATAAAGCTCGAACAAACATGAACCAAACTTGAACAAGCTGATATTAAATAAACACAAACATGAACACTCACATACTCGGCTCGGCTCGCTTGCAGCCCTATTGTGCTTATAGACCCATGATGCTGCATTTTTTACAATGGTTGGAATCTGATTTTTATGGTTCACTCATGGTCAAGAATTATTATATGCTGATTATTTGTTGCTTTATATATCAACTTTGGAAAGAAAGAAATAGTAAGAGATATGGATGCAAAATTCAACGTTCTTCTTCCTTGCTATTTAGTATTAAAAGTTTCAAGGTGAAAAAATTCGAACATATTGCTGGTAAACATCTAATATGGCAGGCTTCATGTCCCGTTTTCTTGACCGCTCGAATGCTGGATCAGGTTGCTTAGCCTGGATGATGATGAAGCTCCAATCGTTTGTCTCTGTTTAACTGCCCCTTCCTTGGAGGATCTTCAGACAACCAGGGGTTCTTATCTGCTTATTATTTTATCTATTCTGAATCCTGGCTAATGTTGTATGGAGCTTTTTTGGAACTCTTGGCTGAGTTCTTATTTTATTTTCAGCATTTGTGCTGTTCTTTGTGCTCTTTTGAGCTATTGCTCGTTCTTTTTGGCTGGGCCTTTTTGTTTTCTTACATTTATATAACTTCTTTGTTATCAATATACAGGCCAAACCCAAAATTTGACTGAATTCCAAACTTACCATAAATAATTAGCCATTACCACCATGACTACCGCCAGCCTCTATTGTCGAATCACCTCCACCCATCATCCTACCTCCCATCACCACCACCATCGGTCCGCTATCACCACCACCACCACCACCGGTCCACCACCACCACTCAATAATTACCTATCGCTGCACCTGCCAAGTACAGTTGCAGCCACCTACTAACCACAGTAAAACTTTACATTTATTTAACTTCAAGCCAACCAACAAAAAACTAATTAACTATATTTATTTCATACTCATCAAAGCAACTACAAAATCAACCAAATCCAACAGAAAAGTTTTCTAAACAATTCATGAATTCAATTCTCATCGAACCAAATTGTAGTTAGTCAAAAAAACGCTATTCTGTACTTGCTACAATTTGCCTTTGTCAGCAAGCACAATCTTTAACTAATCACCATCCAGCAAAATCTTAGAAAACGAAAACAAAAGAGAGGCTAATATTCTCTTAGAAATAGCACAATTCAAAAGTTATGACAGGGAACAATGTGTAGTGAGTAACAAGCAAGACCATAATAAATAAAAAACATGAACAAGATGCAGCTAATAAGGTCTTTTAAAAGGTGGGAAAGGCATTTGGCAAACACTAGAAAGAAAAATACCACAGAAAATTAGGCATCAACCCTCTCAACAACATCATCAAGGATGGCCTTGGTTGGCTTCGCAAGTAGGTCAGTATATTCCTGGAATGGTGATTTAGCGAAGCGAGACTCAATCCACAAGTCTGGAGTCAAAAACGCATAGGTCTTCATCAGACAATCGAAAGTTGCCTGCACAAATCATAAAACATCGGCATTAGTGAGTGATTTTGCTTCATTTGGGACGGCTTACTTCTTGTTTTTTAAAATAGAAAGAAGGTTTTAAAAAAAGCAGTACAAAAGCTGTCCCAAACGAAACAAAAAAAAAAAACAGCAGCTGTGAATATTAGGTATTAAAACAAGCTGAGCATAGGAAATGAACAATAGACTACGTTTATCTTCAATTTATGTATATAAACAAATTAAATAGGTAGCCAAACCAAAATATTCTACATAATATTAACACTACGGCTTTGTTTGGGACGGCTTTCTAAAGCAGATTTCTAGCATAAATTTTTTTTAAACTAGAAATTTTGTATAAAAAAGCTGTTTTATAAAGCAGTAAAAAAGTCATCCCAAACAAAGCCTAAGCTTTTATCATCTTAATCAGCTATTTAGTATGTCATCCTATATTTCAATATTACAGCACACAAACACTTTGACTTTAACAGGGTTCAATACCATGTAATATTCTGTGATTGCTGTGTAGATTTAACAAATGCAAAGTTAGTCAAATTTCATTTTAGGGGTAAAGAAGGCATTCATTTGATTCAATTTGATAAACTGGAGCTATGCAAATGTCAATTAAACCATATAGGTATCAGTAAAATCAATCAACATCCATATAAGAATCATTCTTGATGAGAATGGGAAATAATAATAATAAAAACTACATGCTAGAACTAGAAATAACATTGACTACAATGATTTGATAATGCGCAGCAATACACAATTGCACAAAAATTTAGACTGCATTCCATAGCAGTAAAGCAAACTTAGTGGCTTTTGATCTCTTAAGGGCTTGTAACTGATTTCTGATATTAACCTGTACGCCCCTTTGTGATTTTTAACCAAAGAAAAAAAAATATGGCGGATATAAGAAAGATAAAAATACTTCTAGACAAAACAAAAAAAGGCAATTGGCTCTCTATTATAACAGCCACATAAGGATAATTAAACAAAAAAATCATAAATAAGAAAAGATAAACAAGCTTAACAGTAAGCCACAGAACTCAGTACTAATCAAGTTAAATACACAGCCCTAAAGAAAATGCTAAATTACACTAAGAACTAAGATCCATGAGACAAAGATTAGTTGGAAATATAGATATAAATACAGTGATAGACAGTAATAAATAAAGAACTGCACGAGAAATAATAAAATAAAAAGAAAATCATAATATACAGAAACATTAATAATTAACAATAGCATTATTAATAGCATAAAAGCTTAATTCAAGGTGTTAGGTGCAGTAAATGTAATGCACTTGTCAAATGCTCGAAGGATTAGGCGTGTCCATAGGCGCTTGCCCAATTGAAGTCGAACTGAAAAATAGTTTACTAAAAAAATTATTTAATTACAAGAGAAACTAAATAAGGCTCAAATTATAGTCATCAAAAGGCACTAGGGGTGCAACCGAGTCAAGCCGGCTTGTGAGCTTACTCAAGCTTGACTCGGTACCAAGCTCGAGAAAAGGTGCTTCACTCAATGTCTCTAACCGACAACAAGGTCCTTGCCCGAGCTCCCCAATAAAGACACCCACCTAACATGATCTTGCTTAACCTGAGCTCATGGCCAAATGCGCTATCACCTTTAACAACACTATATAGTGATTAAACCTCTAATTAATTATAAAAAATGTTTCAATAGAAGTCTAAATTATATCCGAAAAATTTGAAAAAACACCAATCAATTATACCACCCCTCTTTAACCGAAATAATGCAAGGGAAAAATTAAAAATTTTGAAAAGAAAAAAGAAAAATATCAAAGTTAACACAAATGTCCCCGATCATGAGTTTGTTATGTCATGGACATGTAATGTCCTGCCAATCTGCAGGATAAAACATATCTATTGCAAATTTGAGCTTATTCCTATCATGTTAGATAGCTATAGGTTCCATGTCAAACATGAGTCCACATCCAACTCACTATAAGCAATACACTAGTTCAGGAGTGCCAATTCGATGCAAAAATATTTACATGTTCTAACTCCTAGAACATGAATTCCATGACATTCCTTGACAACAATAAACTAGAAAAAACGAACTTCAACCAATTAATTGTTTAGGAAAAAAAATGTAGAATAATTACATAACATATAAAACGAAACAATTTGCCAATGAACGTTGGCAAGTTTTTCTTCGACGGCTTCGAAAAATATGAAGATGATGCGGTCCACGTATTATTCGACAGAGTTGTTGATTTCTGGGTTGGAGTCGAAGAAGGTGGAGTGGATAATGTTGATGTTCCCTTGCTCGTCGTAAGCCAATCCAGAATCAAGTTTAGGATCGGCAATTCATTGGTTTGAGGTGGACGACGATCGTTGTTGCTTCCCTTGAAGACTCACTAAAAAGAAAGAAGTTTCTCTCAAGAGTTGTGATAGAGGGGGTGGCCGGCCCAAGGAAGGAGGATAGGGGGAGAATTTAGGTTCAAATTTTGAGAGATTAAGTGGAGGGAACTTTGGGAATTAATCTCCTCTAATTAATTCCTTCCTTTGGAATTAATCAAAGTGATTTCGAAAAGTTCTTAATAACAGACAAAGTTAAGCGTAGAAGAACATAGAAGGTATCTCTTGGGTTGAATAAAGAAGAGCCAAAAAATATCTTATGAGCCGAATATGCCGATTTCATTTCAGACGGACAGCAAATTTTGGTCTATCAGCTTCTAACGATTTTTAGAAAACGTTGACATAAGATATGTTGAATCTTAGGGCAATTTATAGCCGTCGAAATCTATTTTACTTTAAACGAATGATTTCCCCATGTCCTTCTTCATCTTATCCAGAATGCATATTAATTGCAAAACCAAAACACCGGTAGAGGTTTAGGGTGTGTTAAGGGCATCAAATACCAAAACTGAGATTTTAAGATGCCTAAGAGGGAAGAAGATCGCTTATTGGAAGTTGAAATGCTTGAAAGAATTGGAGAGGAGAAGCTAGAATGAAAATGGCGCAGAGAGGGGATGAAGAAATGCTAGGTTAACTTTCAGAAAAGAAGAAAACATCCTCCGCTAACAAAGTATGCCAAATATACAAGTAATTTCTTATTATTAATGTATTAATAATATCATTGACTATAAAAGTATGCCAAAACTGAGATTTTAAGATGCCTAAGAGGGATGAAGAAATGCTAGGTTAACTTTCAGAAAAGAAGAAAACATCCTCCTCCAACAAAGTATGCCAAATATACAAGTAATTTCTTATTATTAATGTATTAATAATATCATTGACTATCAAAGTATGCCAAAACTGAGATTTTAAGATGCCTAAGAGGGAAGAAGATCGCTTATTGGAAGTTGAAATGCTTGAAAGAATTGGAGAGGAGAAGCTAGAATGAAAATGGCACAGAGAGCGGATGAAGAAATGCTAGGTTAACTTTCAGAAAAGAAGAAAACATCATCCGCCAACAAAGTATGCCAAATATACAAGTAATTTCTTATTATTAATGTATTAATAATATCATTGGCCCTTCCGCATTCAACGAATGTGGACACTTCTCTCCCCTCTCTATTGGCCGGCCCCCCAAACCCTCTCTTTTATCTAATTAATACATCTAATTAAACCTCCAATCAACCCATTAATGCTCCCATAACCAGCCGCCCCCTCTCTCCAATTAGATTGTGACTTATTTAGCATGCCACCTAGGCAAGGAAATTAACTCCATTTTACCCTCCGCTGCTGTTCACATAATTCCCCACAATATTCTTCTAGTTCCCTTGCATCCAGAGGGCCGAAGCCCTGAAATTTCCTTTCCCAATTTGTTGTGCAGATTTCTTGACAGATTTTGTGTGTTGTCCAGAGTTCCGGAGCCTTTGACAGTTGTAATCCAGCATTTTCCAAAGCCAAAAACTGTTGTCCATAATTTCATAGCTGTTGTCCAGACATTCTTAGCCGCTGTCCAGTAATTTCAGCAAACTTCTATTGCTATCTCGTTGTCCAAAAAGTCTCTTATCACTGTCCAAACGTTCCCGAACCTTGAAATTGTTGTCTACTGATGTATGGCCGATCTTGAATAAGATCATGGGTTTGTTTACAATGATCAAGGGCACATCGATATCCTCAACTCTCCATTCTTCGACCTCAACCTAGAGATTGACCAAACCATAGAGGAATACGTAGAGAGGATCATCTTCACCCTTGCCGAAGCTATCGCGAACAACTCTCCTCAAATGCAATGGCAGATTATTTCTAAACCTTGACGAATGTTAACTCTTCCTCCGAATTTTGTACCTTCCGAATTACTTTCAACTGTGGTCATAATTAATTCATAAAGGTTGTGTTAACTCCCTCCACTAAGCCTAGTATTCTAAAGAGTTGAGTAAGAGATCTCTTTTGTAGTGACTAATCTCATTGTTAAATTAGGGATTTCCGTTGAAAATCCTTCATGTATATTATGCTTGAGTAATTGATTATTTTGTGATCTTAACTTCTAATTGTGTGACTTGGCCTAAGCTAGTTTCACTATTCTCTTGTTTTCTTTCATTGTTTAAAATCACTTCTGGTTTAAAACTAATATTGCTCCCAAATAAAAGCGTGCAATTTCTAACTTAACATTGCCGAAACATTTAAGTCCTACATCATTTTCTCAATTATTCTTTTTTTAGAACATGCTCAAATATCCTAAAAGCTCACTTTGTCCTTACATTTTCATCTGTTTTCAATAAGAAAATATAAGTTTGTCCTAATACAAAGAAAATGTCACACTTTGCCCTAAAAAAAATGATAGCAGTTGGTGGAAGCCTTAATGTTGGAAACAATTAAAAAGAAATAGAAATAAACAACAAAGGAAACTTAAATAATATAAATGAACATATATCAAAACATGAAATCAACACTAAATGTCTTAGTGACCTTGATAACCAAAAAAATTTGAGTGTGTTTAGTAATAGTGCACAGCTTATAGAGTCACATACTACATAAAGGTTTAAGTGGCATCTTCCTATGAGAGCTAAGACGTGCTCTCTAGAGCAATTCAAAATTTAGTATAGCTCTAGATAATTTGAAATGCCTGCTGCCTTTCTGAAGAGCATGCTGAAATATCCCCAAAACCATTCCAACACTATGTTTTACTAGGTTGCTTGGCCAGTTATTGCTAAAGATATGTAGATGGCAGCAAATCACTTCACTCATGGGAAGTTCTACTAAGCTACTTAGGTAATTATTGTTGAAGATATGTAATCATTTCACTCATGGGAAGCACTCTAAAGCCATAAACAGTGCTCTCACTGCTCTCATTCTAAACCAAAAACCTGCTATAATTTGGAAGGACTTCAGATCTATATTCTTATGCAATTGCTTTTATCATTTTCTTTTCAAAACCTTGTCAAAAGTTTGAAATTATGTTTTTTTCATTCAACTCTACTCTTTTTTATAATTTTATAAGCAAGATTGATGAATAAAAAAAGTTGGAATCAAAATAAACATTGAATTGCCATCTATTTCATTTGAGAAATTGGATTTTTAATTTTGTTAAGTTTAAGTCTCAGTTCATAACACTGTATTGAGAAGCTTAATATATAAGGTATTAGCACCAAATTGCTTAAGAAATTAAACAAGGAATAGATTTTGTTGAATTTCATTTAGTTAAAAAGAACTTCTTCACTATTTAATTGTAAAAATAAATCATACATTCGTCTGGAGAAGTTAGCAGAGCTTACTGAGAAGTTAGTAGAGCGTTCAGTCAGATAAAAGCATTATAACCACAAGAAATTGGCTTTTTAATTTTGTTAAGTTTAAGTCTCAGTTTATAACATTGTATGAAGAAGCTTAATGTGTAAGGTATTAGCACCAAACTGATTAAGAAATTAAACAAGGAATAGATTTTGTTTGATTTCAATTAGTTTAAGAGAGCTTCTCACAATTTAATCGTAAGAAAAAAATCATACATTTACCTGGAGAAGTTAGCATAGCTTACTGAAAAGTTAGCAGAGCTTTCAGTCAGATAAAAGTGTTACAACCACAAAATTAAAAATCAACCTCATTTTTATAAGATGTTATTTTCTGTTTATTGAATTCTACTATTATTTTTGTTGTGTAGTTGTGGTATATTTGACCTTATTTATAGAACATCTAAAATCTATCCAACAGTAAATATAAAATGCACCTTAACAAAGTTGCCGAGAGTCTTGGTGGATCCTCGGGAGGAGGTGAAGACATCTTCAATCCCGGCAAACTGAAGCACCTTCTTCGGAACTCTAGCAGCCACAATACCGGCCCCTCGCGGCGCCGGCACCATCCGCACGGTTACCGACCCGCACTTTCCCGTGACCTTGCACGGTACAGTATGTGGCTTCCCGATCTTGTTTCCCCAGTATCCCCTCCTCACTGGCACCACTGAAAGCTTCGCAAGGATGATTGCACCTCGGATTGCGGTGGCCACTTCTTTAGAGCACTTGACACCGAGACCAACATGGCCGTTACCATCTCCAACGACGACGAAGGCCTTGAAGCGCGTGCGTTGCCCGGCTCGGGTCTGCTTCTGGACTGGCATAATTTTCATGACCTCGTCCTTGAGTTGCGGACCGAGAATGGTCTCCACAATCTGATGTTCCTTGACAGCAAGAGAGTGAAGGTAGATCTGCTCGAGACTGACGATCTTCCCTTCCTTGACAAGTCGGCCTAGCTTGGTGACGGGAACCCATTTCTGCTCATCCTCACGGCGGCCACCACCGCGTCGGCCACCACGACCACGGCCACCGCGATCACCACGACCGCGGCCACCGCGATCCCCACGGCCAAATCCACGCCCGAATCCGCCACGATCGCCGCCTCTCTCCATTGATTTAACGATTAGGGTTTGAGAAGGAGCAAAGTACTCGAACGCTCGATGCAAAAAGGAGATCGGAAGCCGGTAGCAATGAAAGATTG